AATATCGCTCGTTATAAACACGTTTCGTTCTTCTAAACTACCCTCATATGCATTCATATGTGTCATTTATTTACAAACTGGTGCAAATTCCCGTTTTTATGCTTTGAAATATTGAGTGATTTGCATTTCAGTTTACTCAAAGATATCAGTAAGTGCTGTTATTACGATTTTGCATTCCTTTTTGTGATAATATAAATAGCTCCATTTACATGGTATACATTTTTGCAAGAAATTAAATAACGAAAATAATTTGTTGAATAGAACAAAATTCATTAACTATCAGCAAATACGACAAACCATTTTTTCCTAATAGATAAAGAAATGTTATAAAATGTAAATTATAAGTTGTATTAAAAAATTGGAAAATTTGTGAAAAGGGCAACTTGTAATCGAAAAATTACCTAATATATTCTAATATAATAAATAAAAAGCATTCTAAGGCGATGCTTCTAAATACATATCCCCCCTCCCTCGCTTTCTCTTGCGATAGCACGATTACTGTCCTGTCAAATTTTGTATCAAGCACTCGGATCCCCGTGGCCCGTTACGTTCCATCAACGAGAACGATTTCTCCCACGAAGAAATGAAAAAGCTTGTTGTCTCGTCACGAGAAACGCTCGAGGGTCTCGCAAGTCGATCAAATTCCGTCCGTTGGAACGCGAGCCACGAGGAAGAGAGCGAAACGCGGGTAAAAGGCGAGCGGAAAGGACAGACAGAACGGACGTGGAAGTGAAAATCGGTAAGACGACATGGCACGTGAAAAAAAAGGGGGCCAAAAAGTAACAGAACGGAGAGTAGAGGGACAATATCGTGAACGTTTACGACGTCGTTTTGCCACGATAAATATGCTCCGGGAACCCCTTTTCGAGGGATGCAAAACACCCCTCTGTACGGTAGGCGGGGTGCAACGAAACCTGTGTAATCTGCCATACGTTTCCCATGAATATGCATCTGCGAGGCTAATGCGATTTGATTCACGATTGGCCTAAAGTGTACAAGGCTAAGGAGGAGGGGTGAAATCTCTCGAAAGCCACAATAATTCGATACATCGACCGTGAGGGCACAAATTAACGTTTGTTAGCCTAACGTTCCTCCCCGTCCCGAGACGATGCGATTTCTTGATGAAAATAAATCGCATGCGAAACGGGGATTAAAGATTACCCTTTTGTGCCTTGGAAATTGGTAACGATCCGGTTATTTCTGTCGACAGACTTATCGCCTCTGAGTTATGCTTCCTGTGAATTCGATGAAATTTCAGGTGCTCAATTTTCATACCCTTCTGGAAGGTTTTATAGGTAGATCAATCTTTGTTAACCCTCCAATGGCGGACCATGGACAAAGCCACAATTTTAATGTAATTTTGTATTTCATATTATTTTCTTTTCTTGCCGTGATTTTTTAAAAATAAATCGTCAATCAAAAAGAAAGAAAGGCACATAATTAATTTGTACGTTATTATTACTTTTATCTTATCTAAATTACTTGTACTTTGAAAAGGGATCATTTTTCAAAACCTCTTTTTTTTGGAAATATTTTAACACAATTATATTCTTCAGACCTTTATGAAATTTGATTAGGTATCTTATGACTTTCAAGCTGTAGCATACGTGTCTTACAATTAGACGAGCCGAAAATTGTAGACTATTAACGAAATGAAGCAATTTCGTGTTACACGAGTTTTACACCGCCAGTAAATCGCAAGGTATAGCACTTGTCTTCGTTTCCTCAGCAAATTTACTACACGCAAATTTATCCGGACGTTACTGTACCTCGAAGAGGATTTAATAAATCACCAGGACAATTAGCGAGTTCTCGGACTTCGAACGTCCCGTTAGGTAGCCCTGGCCCAGGTATACCTATTGATTTGCGCGCTTTTATGATCTTTCCCCGTCGGTACTCTACGTTCGATAGCTTGTGGAAAATTCTGAATTGCACTCGGTTTTCCGTCGGTCCTTTGCCAGGCGCGAAGGGCGAACGAAGGAGCCAACATTTTAATTGTTTTATTGCCCCGGGAATTTCCGAGGAGCCGGCTGCACGCTAATAAAACCGATTTTACCCGGCCATCGTAAACTTTATGCCGTCGCGCCGAGTAACGTCGGGAAGTTTTCACTAACCGGCATGCTTTGACAATCCGTGTTTCCCTGGTCGAAAAAAGGGGTGGCCAAGAAAATTCGACAAAGAGACAGGACCCTTCAAAAAAATCGTTTAATGGTACACCTGTTCATTTTCGAAGATCTTCGTTCGCTTTGCATTTGCAAATGAGATACCTTGCAAATTAATTCTTTTTTTTTTTGTCAAAAATTGGTTCATGGGTTATCTCGTCAGAAATGATTAATAACTCAATTGGCGCAAAAGAGCGAACGTGAGATTGAGTTTACCCTGGTGGTTCTTGTTAAAAACAAAGAGGGCAAGTACGAGCAATTACCAAGAGTGGTTAACGAGGTGGCCTTATGGCCCTGAAGATCGTTGTCTCTCGGGAATTACGCTTGTAATTTAGAAACTGACGATGCTCAAAGATACTGTTATGCAGAGAATCAAACAGAAACTCTCAAACCGAGGTCCTTGCACCTGGTAACGTCCAACTGTTCCTCGCAATTTTACGACACCTGCGAGCACCCCATACTGGATTAATCGTCGGGTATATACGACGTTGTATGATTGATTTCCTCGTTTGAATTTTTTTTCGAGATTTACAACTGTCATTACGAGTTGATGCAAGTGCACGATAGTAGAGCGTGGGTGCTGCTTTATCGCAAATTGTGGGAGCAGGTTTCAAGCATTTATGTTTACCTTTGTCGTTTTGGTTCGGGAGTTTCCAACAATGGACGAGGGATTCTTTGAGAATTCAGACGACAATGTGAATGGATTTAATAGGAAATAAGGAGGTTGGGAGAATAGGAAATGAAAGATTGTTTCTTGGAATAGAATATGGAATATTTTATATTTAATTAGAAATGTGGTGTAAATAGGATTTTTAAATAAATTATCAAAAATCTAAATTCCTATAAATATTATACTAATATCCAGTAGCTCTGAAAAATATGATAATGCATATATTGAAATAAAAAAAATAAAAATGATGAATAAAAAAATCCCTTCCAACACATTCAATTATGTATAATTTTTTATTCTAAAATTCCTATCCAGAAAACAATCATCCTTTCGACAGGGTGGTTGGCCCCGGTCCGAGGCTTTTTCACGAAAAACAGGAAGACACCTGCGCCTTCGGTCATTTCCTGTATCAGCCCCGGGGGTAACCAGGTTAATCCTCGATTGACCCTCCTCTGCACGCAGGTTGGACCTGTCCACCGCGTGCAGGAAAAAAGAGGAACGAGCATAAGAGCGAAAGAGACGGATTATAGTCCGGCACGCGACCAGAACCGCAGAGAACAGTGACAAAAAGGTCGGTTGACGTCGTCACACACGTTTCTGACTATGTGTTTGGGAATGTCCGTCAGGTTGGTGAGGACGAACGAGGTCGACTGTAGCGATAGGATTGATACGATACATATTGATGATATTCAAACAATTTCGTTATCGAAATACTCGTGAAAAAAGTATTTTGGGTTGATATTAATATTCCGACAGGCGATTATTTTATAATTTCACATTGCTTTTTGCATAAACAAAGAGTAACTAAGAGAACTAATATTTGGAAGTTTCTATTTATTATCAAAATTCATACCAATTAGAATAGCAAATTCATAGAAAAATTCATGCTAATTAAAAAGTAAATGCATAGAAAAATTTATACTAATTAAAATAGAAAATTTATAGAAAAATTCATAGTAATTAAAATAACAAATTCATAGGAAAATTCATAGCAATTAAAATAGTAAATTTAGAGCAATTTTTAAATAGTGTAAAATTTAGAGAATGAAAATAAAATAGAGCCTAAAATTAAATTTAAATTCCTATCTTAGCAGCCTATTACCCAGGGAATAATACTACTTGATACCAGATCAAAATTTCTAGACTAGAAACGAAACTATCGGTCCTAACACTGGTTATTTGTCTCCTTAACATAAACCTTGGACCTTCCGTTAGCGTTGATCAATTGAAAGAAGGGCTTCCTTCGTCTCGAAAGGGACAGCTTGTCGATAAATTTCCGACGTGCTGGACTAACCAACGACGTCTGCCGATCTCGTGGATAAGTTAGTGTAACGAGACCTTGCCGATTAATCGACGTAAATGAGCCTTCGATACTTGTCGCAACTGACGAACCGACGATGTCTACACTGTTCAAAGGGCAGAACTTATCGTGTAAGGTTTCTTGGTAGAAGAACTATTATTCGAACGAACAAAGGGGGAAGATCGTATTCCGATCTACCAGTAGGGTGGATTCGAAGTTCTACTAGTTCAAAGTTTTACTAGACCTGCGATTTTACATGAGTCAACTGCTATTATTATCCTGATTTATGTTAATATTATTATAAGAGGCATAAGAGGCGGCAAAAAAAAAATTCCTAGCTGAAGAGATTTTGGAAATTTTAAAGTAATCTCTGATTTTCTAAGTGGGAATATGGAGTAATTTCTTTACCTTAATTTCACATTTCGATTAAAAATTATTAACAAAATTAAAAATTGCATCAAAGTATCAAGAAATAATGAATATACTACATACGAAAAAAGCCACTCTATTTTATAATAAAATATTGAATCTTTTAATGAATTGAAAAATAGCATCCGAAATATTAAAAATAATAAACTGTATTCCATAATAAAATATTGAATCTTTTAACGAAACGAAAAATCGCACGAAAATATTAAAAAGTAATAAACTGTATCCCATAAGAAAGTATTGAATTTTCTTAAAGCAAGAACAGTTATCGGTAAATATCTACAATTAGGGCCCCAACGAGAAATCAATTGAAAAGAGATAAATTCTATGTATTTTTGCCCCTCGAATCCAAAATTGTTGATCAAATTTGGCGGTCGCTTGTATTTTTTAAGATACATAAGTTAGGTTACGTTAGGTTATCAGAAAAAATATAACTTACCTCGCGCCAAAAACTTGAGCAGTCAACAATAGCCTCCTTGAAAAGAATAATTTCAAAGTATGAATTTAAACAAACTGTTAAAAGTGGTACGTGGCTAACTAATTCTAATATTGATATCACACCGATTGTCGGTTTTATTCGATATTTTTTCACGATACGTCCTCCGCGCTGTGCACTCTATGAACAGGAATTAGAACTGAGCAAGGAGACTATTGCTGACTGGTCAAGTGTTCGCCGCGAGGTAAGTTATATTTTTTCTGATAATCTAACCTAAGTATCCAAAAAATACAAGTTTTATCAACAGTTTTAGATTCGGGAGGCAAAAATGTATAGAATTTACCTCTTTCCAATTGATTTCTCGTTGAGGCATTGTAAACATTTACCCAGTTGTCGAGCGTAAACTATATTCTACGAACTTTCTCCTGTATACGTAAAACTGTTGTTCATTACATAATAAGATCGTTAAGTTCTATCGGCAATCTATTACCTTGTGTGTCAGGTGAACGAGGCACGTACACGATGTTGTACGAAGCCCATCGAAGGATGTAATCAGATCCGACGTGCAAACTCGAACGAAACTTCGACTACACACTGTATTACCACGTACAGCAGCTTCGTCAGAAGGGAAAAGGACCCCGCTGCACTTTCGACGTCGTCTTCAGCGAGCTGAGCGACAGGTTGTCGATAAACCACAGCCACTGTGCGAACCACGTCAACGGACACTTTGTATCACGCCGGAGCAAAGCGTTCTGCTCTTCACACGCGCACGATACAAACTGTGATCCTCGAACGGTCTATGTTTACTATCAGCGTAAATCGGCCAGGTACGATCACGAAACGAATAATATACCGTCGCTAATTCGTACGATGTCAACAACATTCTTCTATTTACCTCGTTATGCCTCGCTGTTTCGAAACATTATATACATTGGCGTAACTGAAATTTCTATAACTGGGATATTCTAAGCCCAATGCTGGGTAAAATAATATTTTAAATAAGAAATAGAAATATTTTCAAAGATTATTTAAGTAATATTTTAAATAAAAAATAAAGGTACTTACAGAAATTATTTTCCAGACTCTGTTATATTGATTAATTTGTAACAATTATTTATTTTCATCTATTCATCAAAAAATATTTTCTGATTAAGTTTCATATGAATTACACAAAAAAATTGGAGGATCTATTACATGAAATAACAAGGACACACACCTGAGAAAAATTTTGATTACCGCCTTCCTCGTTCCCATGATCTTCTAGAGAGTGGCAAGAAAAACAGAAGGGGGATTTTTCATTGGATGTGGGTCATCGATTCACTGGTACAGAGGATATCCTGTTCATGGATCGGTAAAAGAAGAAGAGGAAGGAGCGTGAAGTGCGTTTATGAATGAAGAATACCGAAGACCTGATCCGTGCTCCTGTGCACTTGCGTCCTGCCTCCGCCCTTGGCGACACCCCCTTCCGGTTCGATGATTTCAGGGGGTTGCGAGCACCGTATGCCGCAACAACTGTCATCTTAAATTTTCCCTGGCGACGATATTCACCTCCTGGTCTTTGAATTTTCACCCTGAAAATTTAAAAATTTAATGTACCACTATTCTGATGAAAAATAAAAATATTCAATACCTGGAAAAATTAAATAGTAATAAAATTATTCACCATTGACCCATATTATTTACGTTATGCACAACCATCCTCTGGTAACTGCTGAAAAATAAATAAAATTACATGTTAAATCAAAAATCATGTTTCAATTTATTCTGAACACGAATAAACAATTAATAAAACGGTATTTTATACAATTACGATTATCTACTTTGTCAATAAAGAAATAAATCATACCACCCTTAATGACAATGGAATTTCATAAAACCGTACAGTTTCTACCTGAAAATCCAGCTGTAAATATCTTCTACCTATTTCTAACGGCCTTATAAACAGTTTCAAATACTTCAAATTATAGGGAGAAAAAGAAGCAACGATCATCGCGTGCAAACGTTCCTTCAAAGACCCCTTTAAATCATGGAAACGGTGGCATCGCGGTATCGTCAAATAAGAATCCATCGTTTCCACGTCCGTCAAGATTTGCTGGAAAAATGGATCGGTTCTCGTCCAACCCCTATCGTCACAATGCGTGCAAGCCTTTTTTCCGTGGTTTCCCGTCGAAACGGATTCCTTTAACCGGCCGAAACCAGGACCCCTTGCACCCGGAACACGTGTGTGCACGACACGTATTTTAACGTGAAAACGCCAGAAAGGATTCCGTGGGAACAGTTTGGGAGAGGTAAGCAAGAGTTGGATTTCCTGAAGGAGAGGAAAAACGCTCGTTCTCTTTCTCTGTCTACTGATGCGGCAATAAAGAAAAAGGGGCGAATAGAGAAAGAAATATAAGCTTTTTGTTAAGAGCTGTCTGAAAATTTCAGAATTTTTGTTTTTTGAATTATTTAATCGTAAAAATATTTCTTGAAAGTTAACAGTAATATTTATTACCATATTACTAGCATAATTGTTATGTTATTAATTGAAAATTAATGATCATATTCTTTTATTTTTTTAATAAAGAGTGTAGTAAATTTAAGGGGATGGGGTTGAAGGAAATTCGGAGATTTTTGTGACCCTAATATGTAACTATAGCCGCCATAAAGGTAACTTGTTGTGGATAGAAACGTGAAATATTGCAAGGGAAAGGGTCTCGAATGCTTTCGTCGATGATGCCTGGAAAGGGTTGAAACCCTTGGTGGTGGAGGTTATAGGTCCGCGATATCAAGATTAAATCGGCAAGGGTCGCGAAGATTGACATCGATAGGGTAAATTTTGTAAAAAAGAGAGCAACTTTTGCGGTAAATGGAGCGGTACTTTTCGCACGATTTGTACCGATGTGGAAAGGGTGAAACTAACTACCTTTTTAACGCGCAATCTTCTAAATTTTACTGGAAAGGGTTAAGCGAAACGGTTCTCACAGGATCGCTATTTTCCTCGAAGCACAAATAAATTGTACTGATTTCGCGAAGAGAGATTTACCATCTGGAGAATTGTGAAAAATCGAATACCTCCCAAAAAAGTCGTTAAATTCATTTCTCTCGCGCACATATGCCTTCATCAGTTTGAACAGGTGGTAAGAACCGTTACTGCAACAATTGGAAACCAAAGACATAAAGTTACAAAAAGAATTGTACAAATAAAATGCAAATCAATCATTCAGCTTTTCTTAAAATAAGTTGTTGCACTGCAGAAATGTGCATACAATCGCTTCTACAGACGGCGAAGTACTTTTACCAATTACGATATTTGCACTTTCGAAATCAACAATTACCTTCAACATGCAGCTGAATGCAAGTGTGCATAATTAAGATAAGTGAAATGAATATGTAACCCAAAGTTTAAAAGGTTCTTTATGTTTCATTGACAAGTATAACAATTTATGGCTGTATGGTGCAGCTAAAAAATTATTCACCAATTACAATATGCGATATCACAGAAAGAAATGAATCAGAGTAAAAAAAAAAAGAAGAAATCATTCGCGAAAGGCGAAAGATTCTGGGAAAGAAGTAAAATAGCATGTGTACCATACGAGCAGAAACACACGTGTGCCGCATTATGATGTACAACGTGCACACGAACGAGCAACACACAATTCCATTGTCGAAGGTATCCCTTGTTTGCTCGAGGATCTGGCGAGCAGCTGATTGGGATTTTCGTTCTCGTCAAGTCTTGTGGATTACACATGGCACGCCGCTTTCGTAACGACGATGTCATGTTTGCGTGGTACTGACGATAGAAAAAAAAAAAAGTATTGTTTGAGGGAGGTTCAACCTTGCTGGAGAAGACACGATGACGTAAAGGAGTCGTCAGCGAAATTCGTGTCGACTTGAAAGGAGATTTATCTTTACTAATCTTTGCAAAAGAGAAATTTCTTTTCTCTTTCTGCATTTAATATGTTCAAATTAAATTTTAATAATATCTGCAGTTAATTATTTAAAAATGATTTCTTAAAGATAGAAGAATATAAATTTGGCAATAATACAATAAAAAATAATATTTTTTAACAATATATTGACAAATTTTGAAAGACAGAGATTGAACAATTGTTACCTCCTAGTTTGGCAATAATGCAATAAAAAATAATATTTTGTAATAATATTGGTAAATTTTGAAAAACAGAGATTGAACAATTTTTACCTCTTAAAATTACTGACTTCAGCAATATTGGAATAATTAATTAATCATTGGAAAAGGAATCCAAAATAATATGGAAATTATTTGAATAAAATTATCCATCAATTTAATATTAAAACGAAAATGAAAATGAAATAAAAATTCGTTTAATTTTCTGACAGACAAATGCAAAAGATTCGTAAAACGAAAGTCTTGTTTAACAATCATACATCACAATATTTGCACAAATCTGTTACGAGAACTTTTATCTACAATCTCATCGACTCGTGACAAATATTAAACATTACAGTAAAAGAATGCAGTGTCATTAAACGTTGACGGAGATTGATTAGATCTCCGACAAAGTTATACGCGTCACTCTGTTACCCTACGAATCCAGCACAAGGGAGAGAAATCACCCCATCGTCAGATTTATTTAATACAGCGCCGAGTGGAGGTGGCGTGTGGGGTGGCATAGGACTGCAAGTGTTGAGGCGAGGGGGTGGGCAGAGGGTTTCAGGGTGGCTGCAACCTGTTGAGTCAGACAATATCGCGTTTTTACTAATGCCACATCGTCGTCCCGGCTCGAGGATTCGAGGGGGTGGCTACATTTTTCCCGTTCCGCACGAGAACCCCAGCTTGGGATCGTTATTATCGAGACTGGGATTATTAACCCCGAAATACGTGTAAATCCCTGCTCTTCTTCTACATTCCAAATATTCAAACTCTTTAAATAAATATTTTATCAATTTGATACTATGGATGATGATCATTTTAATAATTAATACCTTGAACACCGCGTCGCGGCAGCCACTGATGATCGATGATTCAAATTTAATATAATCGAATAATTTAATTAATACAGAAATTAATTAATCGTTTAATCGCGCAAAAATTGATAGCTTTTATTAAAGTACCCATTTAAATGATATATTTCTTCGGTGCAACATTATGCAAAACCAGTTTCAATATTGATCGAACCAAGTAGCTGCTTTATAACTTATCGTTTATTATATTCTTCTTGTCGTTTGTACAAGATTCTCTTCTTGAGTATACAGATGATTGGAAACTTAATTGGAACCTGGCTCATTGACATTCTATTGTCATCGTAAATTATATTTAATACGCGTGCGGCAGGTTGCAAGCTGATTAAATCTTTCAAAACGAATTCATTAAAAATGATATTCTGCTTGCTTACCTTGACTTTTTACTTTCGTATAACATGTAATTTCACATGATATCTTATCATTTTCTTACGTTGTCTTTCGAGCAACATTGTAGGAAAGCTAGAGGATTTTATGGCATCTGAATGCAGGTGTACTTGGAGTAAGAGCAACTATAGCGTATTTCAAAGTATTCAGAATAATAAAATTACCATAAGATACATAACACATTATGATAATGATTCAGTATTCGTACTCGTTGATTTATAATGAAATATTCATGCGGCATATAGGTACCCTGATCTGGTTTAAATGGAGCACGCAGAGTTGTGTTTTTAACAAGTCAATCGATAAAAATTATTAATTTATTTCAGACTGAAAACAGTAGATTAAGATTCGATGAGGTTGAAAGTTAAGTTCATGTTGTATGAAGTACGTCATCGCGAAAGTTTTCTGCCGGCATCGCATACTTTGTCGACTTCCGCTGCTGGTCAAAAAACACTCATTTAAGACGGAACTTAAAAGCACCAACGATACTGCCGTTTCTCGACCACGTGTTGCCCATCCGTGTATCTTCCAGTGATATCTCTACCCTTTTTTTCTTAAAAGTATATTCAAATATTCAATTGTAAAATTACCTCTGAGTTATAATTCCAATTTATAAATTGCCAAATGAATAACTAATAATTATTATCTATTACCAGAGAATTCTTTCACTTTCTCAAAAATAAAAAAATAGTAATTCAAAGTTGCTATCCCTATAATCATTAAATTAGAGAAAATCATATCTCCACTCGTTTTTAAATCAAATTACCAAAAGATCCAGAGGTCATTCCTCCACAAAACGAAGTCACATCCGGTACCGTGTAAATTCAATCGATTACCAGAATCTCCATCAGAAAATCCAAAGAACCATTGAGGAATCATTTCCTTACTCGCGAATGCGAAAAGCATCCCCCTCCAGCACAGTCTCAACCATTCGGAGCATTCAGAGATGGTTCACGAGAGCAGATAAATCTCGGGAACGATGGGCAGGGCCTGTACAACGAGCTACGCCGGCATTGAGCCGAGACAGGGCCGTACCATCACGCTATTCAGGTTCACGAGAGCATGTCTCTCTTGGCTAGAGTTGCTGGAGCAGAGACGAGGCGGAGAGGCGGAGTGAAGGCAAATGCACCGGCACCATGGAGGACCAGGTGCATCCCGTGGAGCCTGGGAAGCGCAAACTACGGCAACGAAACGCCGGCAGATGCTACCGAGTCACTGCGGGGCCCTTCGCATTCGGCGTCTATGTGCACAGACGCCG